TCACCCCTGACAGATGGCCATCCAGCCTCTGTTTAAAAGCTTCCAAAGAAGGAGCCTCCACCACACTCCGGGGAAGAGAGTTCCACTGCTGAACGGCTCTCACAGTCAGGAAGTTCTTCCTCATGTTCAGATGGAATCTCCTTTCTTGTAGTTTGAAGCCATTGTTCCGCGTCCTAGTCTCCAGGGAAGCAGAAAACAAGCTTGCTCCCTCCTCCACATGACTTCCTCTCACATATTTATACATGGCTATCATATCTCCTCTCAGCCTTCTCTTCTTCAGGCTAAACATGCCCAGCTCCTTAAGCCGCTCCTCATAGGGCTTGTTCTCCAGACCCTTGATCATTTTAGTCGCCCTCCTCTGGACACATTCCAGCTTGCCAACATCTCTCTTGAATTGTGGTGCCCAGAATTGGACACAATATTCCAGGTGTGGTCTAACCAAAGCTGTTTAAAAGCTTCCAAAGAAGGAGCCTCCACACTCCGGGGCAGAGAGTTCCACTGCTGAACGGCTCTCACAGTCAAATGACAAAATCAACCCCCTCCAAATTTGGGCGTATTGGGTATCTGTGCCAAATTTGGCCCAGTGAATGAAAATACATCCTACATGTCAGATATTTACATCACAATTCAGAGCAGTAGCAAAATGACAGTTATGAAGTAGCAACGAAAATAATGTGATGGTTGGGGGTCACCACAACATGAGGAACTGTATTAAGGGGTCGCGGCATTAGGAAGATTGAAAAACACTGGGCTAGCCTCTGTCCCTGATGCCTCTACATATACAAGTGTTGCTGCTTCTTCACTTCCAAAAGGAGCAAAGGCTATTTTTCTTGAACCTGGATGGGTTGGAGTACAATTTCCATCACCCATTTAGTTTTGCTATCCAGTGATGTTGAAGGTGGAAGTCCCAAGAACCTGTGGAAGGAAGGCCCTGGGTTTTGGGACACCCAGCTGAGGTATGGAGCTTTCCTTGATACGTTCCTTCTTGATATGCCTCCTCCTCCACCTCCTTCTTGCATCGGCAGCCTGACGAAGTCCGTATGATTCTGTGCCAGAAGGAGAGCCAGCGCAGCTACACCGAGAGGAAGCCTAGGGTCAAAGACCTAAAGGAAGGAGAGTCCATAGACCTAAGGAAAGGAATGGAGAGAGGCACAAGCAAGGTAGGAATGGGAGGCGCTTTCGTTGGTAAGAAAACCTAGGGCAGGCATCGGCAAACTTGGGCCCTCCAGGTGTTTTGGACTCCAACTCCCACAATTCAACACTAGGCTGTTAGGAATTGTGGGAGTTGGAGTCCAAAACACCTGGAGGGTCCAAGTTTCCCCATGCTTGCTCCAGAGACACAGAGGAGTGAGAAAACGAGTTAGTGACTCTAGGAAAAGATATATATTTCAGTATTTTTCTCCTCAAGGAGTGATATTTTGCAATTTTTTGGTGCTGTGAAAAAGCCTTTGCAAACCATGCAGGTTTCAAAGCCTATTTGCAATTCGGAAACAGTGGAGAATAATTATCTCAGCACAAAATATATTTCTCACCCAAAATATCTTCATATGTGTTTCTGCACAGAAAATGAAATCCTGTTTTTCTGTGCAAAATAACTAGAAAGAAAAATAGGCAAAAAATGAACTCTGGCCATTTTCCTTTTATTTGATATTTTATAATTATAACAGCACTTTCTTTCCGGAGAATAATATCACTTACAAGTTGTTATTTTGCACCCAGAATTGTTTGTGTGTGTTTCTGCGCAGAAAGAAAAATCCTATTTTCTGTGCAAAATAACAACTTGTAAAAAGAAAACAGGCAAATAATTGAACTCTGGCCATTTTCCTTTTTATTTGATATTTTTAATTATAACAGCATTTTCCTTCCGGAGAATAATGTCTCTACACAAAATGTATATTTATTTTGAACCCAAAATTGTTTGTGTTTCTGCGCAGAAAGAAAAATTATATTTTCTGTGCAAAATAACAACTTGTAAAAAGAAAACAGGCAGAAAATTGAACTCTGGCCATTTTCCTTTTTATTTGAAATTTTATAATTATAACAGCGTTGTCTTTCCGGAGAATCATATCACTGCAAAAATGTATATTTATCTTGCACCCAAAATTGATTGTGTGTGTTTCTGCGCAGAAAGAAAAATCCTGTTTTCTGTGCAAAATAACAACTTGTAAAAAGAAAACAGGCAAAAAATGAACTCTGGCCATTTTCCCTTTATTTGATATTTTATCATTATAACAGCGTTTTCTTTCCAGAGAATAAAATCACTGCACAAAATGCATATTTATTTTGCACCCAAAATTGTTTGTGTGTGTTTCTGCACAAAAAGAAAAATCCTATTTTCTGTGCAAAATAACTAGAAAGAAAAATAGGCAAAAAATGAACTCTGGCCATTTTCCTTTTATATGATATTTTATAATTATAACAGCATGTTTCTTCTGGAGAATAATGTCTCTGCACAAAATGTATATTTATTTTGAACCCAAAATTGTTTGTGTTTCTGCGCAGAAAGAAAAATTATATTTTCTGTGCAAAATAACAACTTGTAAAAAGAAAACAGGCAAAAAATTGAACTCTGGCCATTTTCCTTTTTATTTGAAATTTTTATCATTATAACAGCATTTTATTTCCAGAGAATAAAATCACTGCACAAAATGCATATTTATTTTGCACCCAAAATTGTTTGAGTGCGTTTCTGCGCAGAAAGAAAAATCCTATTTTCTGTGCATAATAACAACTTGTAAAACGAAAACAGGCAAAAATTGAACTCTGGCCATTTTCCTTTTTATTTGAAAATTTATAATTATAACAGCGTTGTCTTTCCGGAGAATCATATCACTGCAAAAATGTATATTTATCTTGCACCCAAAATTGTTTGTGTGTGTTTCTGCGCAGAAAGAAAAATTCTAACTTGTAAAATGAAAACAGGCAGAAAATTGAACTCTGGCCATTTTCCTTTTTATTTGAAATTTTATAATTATATTAGTCTTTTTGTTGTTGCTAAAAAGTAAAGTAAAAATTAAAAAATTAAGGGGCGATAGTAGTGCAGAAAGGCACGGTCACAAAGATAGGTGGAAGTATGATTGTGGAACTATGAGTTGACAAATTATGTGATTTAAGAGAAGTCAAGGGTATTCTAGCTGGTGTGTATCAATCCTTTATCCAGAATTCCAAAATAAACCCAAATCCAAACTTGTCCTCGATGGTGGCTGAGATACTGACACATCTTTGCGTTCTGAAGGGCCATTGTTCACAAACGTGATTATTAAAAGTATTGTGGATAAAATTTACCTACAGGCTGTGTGTAAAAGGTGTATGTGAAGCATCACCACAGTTTGAGCTTAGCTTTGCGGCCTACTAAGACCCTTAAATCCCTTAGAATTACCAAATTGGAAGAGACCACATGAGCCATCTAGTCCAACCCCTTGCCGTGCAGCAAAAGCACAATCATGAAAAGCCGGGATTTAGCACAGCAGGATAACCAACATTTGTAATAAATCTTGCCAATCAAAAGGTTGGCAGTTTGAAGTCGGGGTCGGGGGTGAGCACCCCACCTTCAGCCCAGCTCACTGCTCACCTAGTAGATCGAAAACAGCTGTGGTACCGCTTAAATGGGTACCGCTTAAAAAGGGGGAGATATTTTAATGGCACCATAAGAAAATACCAGAAAAATGCAGGTGAACAGGGTCTGTAAACAGGGCTTTTCCACATAGTGGATGGAGCAACAGCACCCCCTCTGGCTAGAATCGAGCGCAACCTCCAAGACGCCGAAAATGGGAAAAGCCTATATACCTCTATCTATATAAAGTGTCTGTTCTATCAGTGTATAACAACATTGAATGTTTGCAGTATATGAGTTCTGTGATCTGCCCCGAGTCCCCTTTGGGGTGAGAAGGGCGGAATGCCATCGAGTCCAACCCTCACCAAGCAGGAAAATTGCATTCAAAGCACCCCTGACAAATGGCCATCCAGACTCTGCTTAAAAGCCTCCAAAGAGAGCCTCCAGCACAGTCTGAGGCAGAGAGTTCCACTGCTGAACAGCTCTCAGGAAGTTCTTCCTAATGTTCAGGTGGAATCTTCTCTGTAATTTGAACCCATGGCTCCGAGTCCTAGTTTCCAGGGAAGCAGAAAGGAAGCCTGCTCCCTCTTCCTTATGACATCCTTTCAGGTATTTACACATGGCTCTCCTGTCTCCTCTCAGCCTTGTCTTCTGCAAGCTAAACAGACCCAGCTCTTTAAGATGCTCCTCAGAGGGATTATTGAAGGTCTCCAGGCCTTCATGGCGATCATGACTCCTCTCAGCCTTCTCTCCTGCAGGCTAAACAGACCTAGCTCTTTAAGATGCTCCTCAGAGGGATTATTGAAGGTCTCCAGGCTTTCATGGCGATCATGACTCCTCTCAGCCTTCTCTTCTGCAGGCTAAACCGACCCAGCTCTTTAAGACGCTCCTCAGAGGGATTATTGAAGGTCTCCAGGCCTTCATGGCGATCATGACTCCTCTCAGCCTTCTCTTCTGCAGGCTAAACAGACCCAGCTCTTTAAGATGCTCCTCAGAGGGATTATTGAAGGTCTCCAGGCCTTCATGGCGATCATGACTCCTCTCAGCCTTCTCTCCTGCAGGCTAAACAGACCTAGCTCTTTAAGATGCTCCTCAGAGGGATTATTGAAGGTCTCCAGGCCTTCATGGCGATCATGACTCCTCTCAGCCTTCTCTCCTGCAGGCTAAACAGACCCAGCTCTTTAAGATGCTCCTCAGAGGGATTATTGAAGGTCTCCAGGCCTTCATGGCGATCATGACTCCTCTCAGCCTTTTCTCCTGCAGACTAAACAGACCCAGCTCTTTAAGATATGGATCATTCATGGTCTCCACACCTTTCCCATGGACAGTTTGCGAGTGTCACCCATTTCATATCAGTGCATTCCATCACATTTCTCCCTACCCTTCCGCACCTTACATTTCTCCCTGTGGAAGTCTCACTTTGCAAGTTTTCCTCTCTCTTTTGCAGTGCGACCAGGCTCAGCACACTCTCCGCGAAATGGAGTCCAAGTGCCGGCGCAGCAAGACCGAGTGGGAGCAGTTGCACGAGGAGCTGCGGCTCTGCAAAGAAGAGATCGAGCGGCTCAATGGCACCATCCCCATTGGCGGACGGGTAATCCGGACAGGGCAGTGAGGGGAAAGGGGCACCTGGCACAATACCTATGGGGTGGCAGGGGATGGAAACAGTGCATCCTCTTCCAAGCTGGGAATGTTGTTTGGCATTTCAGAGGCATGGGCCAACTTCAGTCCTCCTCCAGGTGTTTTGGACTTCAACTCCCACGATTCCTAACATCTGGTAGTGTCATAAGTCCTTTTTAAACATAGAAGAAATTATTTTATTCCGCTTTCAGTGGGACAGGTTGCATTAGGCAATTTCAGAGAGACAATTAGACACAGACTCCAGTACTGGGTTTTATAATAACTATATAACTGGGACCCCTGGTGGTGCAGCAGGTTAAACTGCTGAGCTGCTGAACTTACTGACCGAAGGGTTGGCGGTTCGAATCTGGGGAGTGGAGTGAGTTCCTGCTGTTAGCCCCAGCTTCTGCCAACCTAGCAGTTTGAAAACATGCAAATGGGAGTAGATCAATAAGTACTGTGAAATATTGTGTATTATGTTTTTTACGGTTTTAATTGTATACTGTGTACTGTATATTCTGTTGTAAACCGCGTTGAGTCGCCAGTTAGGCTGAGAAACGGCGGTATATAAGGACAGTAAATAAATAAATAAATAAATAAATAAATACTGCTTTAGCGGGAACATAACAGCGCTCCATGCGGTCATGCAGGCCACATGACATTGAAGGTGTCTGTGGACAATGCTGGCTCTCCGGCTTAGAAATGGAGATGAGCACCACAACCCAGAGTCAGACATGACTAGACTTAAAGTCAGGGGGAATCTTTACCTGTATCTTATATTGCTTACACAGACAAAGGGGATATTTACATTTTACTCAGCATTCAGACACATAATAAACATTGACTCATCTTTCATTCATTCATCCACCCTTCTTACCATCTTTCTTGGTTAAGTTGATCAGCTTCTTGAGAGGAGATGGCTGTTCATAATGGTATTTTAGAGATGGTGTTCTGATGGTCTGACACACTTTTTCTGAGAGAAAAGGGTCTCTCTTATATAACATTTTCTGTTGATGTGGTTCAGAAAGTTGTAAATGAATGACAGGTTGTTTGGCTAGCTGAAACATGCTGATTCTTGTCAGTTCCAGACAGATTTTGGCTTTGCTTTCTTAAGTGATAATTGGTTTTTCTTCTTAAGGAGCCTTGTTTGACTTCCTTAAGTGAGGTTGGTTTTTATTCTTAAACATAAGGAGCCTTGTAAACACTTCCTTACTTAAAAGAGACATTGTCTTTGGTAATGTAAACATGTTGTTTTCCACCACAGCGTTAATCATTTGCCTCTGGTCATCAATGTCAGCCGTTGTTGGGACTCAGCCTGTGTTTCACCCTGAATCTGTTATAGTGTTTCCTCCTTCTAATATTTCTGAGCCTGTCTTGGATGTCAATGAGGATGAGGTGCAAAATGGAGACACTTTGGACAATAAGGTTACTACAGACTCTGATCGAGAAGGGTCAAGAGAAAGGCTAAGTTCTCATGAGAAAATTCCAGGCTCGAGTTTGCAGGAAAGTTCACTCCCTTCTCCAGGGTCGAGTCTGCAAAATAGTTTCACACCTGCAGTTAATGAAGAGATAGATAAGACCAGTCGCCGTCTGGAAATCAGCCAGAACCGTAGAGAGGCCCAATGTTTACACAGGTCAGAAAGAATTCGGCAATTAAGGTCAAAGACTGGGGGGAGTAGAAATCAGTTTCTGGGACTTAAATTGAGCTCTTAGGGAATTTCCTTCAGACCAGGCATCGTTTGGTTTCAAGTCAAGTCTTTTGGATATTCCTGTGGCCTCGTCTCCTAGGTTTCTTGGTTTTTCAAGTGGATTAGCAGTGGCTATGTTCATGGTTTTTATAGAAGACATTTGATGTTTCTTTGCATCTGGATTTAAACAGCAAACTTGTGGATCTTTGATATTATTCCTATGTTTGGACACTGTTTATGTTACTGCTTATTTGGCTTGTTGCTTTTGGACTTTTATCAACTTTATATTCATCTCTTTTATTGGCTTAAATTATTCTTCAAATAAAGATGACTCTTTTTTCATCCAAGGTGTGGTGTAATTAATGATTAGAGGGTCCTGTTTCTACTCTGGAGCGCAACAGCCGTTCTCATCAGCAACTTTTAATTACAGTCCATGAATTCTTCACCTCCTTCTTGTAGTTTTCCAGGTTTCAATCTTAGGATGGCATCTCTAGAATATATAGACGCCAACCATACAGCTTCCATACAATTCAATTCAAACCATACATCATTGGGTTGTTGTAGGTTTTCCGGGCTATATGGCCATGTTCTAGAGGCATTTTCTTCTGATGTTTCGCCTGCATCTATGGCAAGCATCCTCAGAGGTAGTGAGGTCTGTTGGAAGTAGGAAAATGGGTTTATATATCTGTGGAAAGACCAGGGTGGGACAAAGGACTTTTGTCTGCTGGAGCTAGGTGTGAATGTTTCAACTGACCACCTTGATTAGCATTTAATGGCTTGGAAGTGCCTGGGGGAATATTTCTTTGAGAGGTGATTTGATGTGCCTGATTGTTTACTCTCTGTTGTTTTGCTGTTGTAATTTTTGAGTTTTTTAATACTGGTAGGCAGATTTTGTTCATTTTCATGGTTTCTTCTCAACAAAAGATTCCCCCCAGGCACTTCCAAGCCATTGAATGCTAATCAAGGTGATCAGCTGAAACATTCACACCTAGCCCCAGCAGACAAAAGTCCTTTGTCTCACCCTGGTCATTCCACAGATATATAAACCCTTTTCCTAGTTCCAACAGACCTCACTACCTCTGAGGATGCTTGCCATAGATGCAGGCGAAACTTCAGGAGAGAATGCCTCTAGAACATGGCCATATAGCCTGGAAAACCTACAACAACCCAGTGATTCAGGCCATGAAAGCCTTCGACCATACATCATTTTTCATGACAGTACGCTGTTAGGAATTGTGGGAATTGAAGTCCAGAACACCTGAAGAAGGGCCAAAGTTGGCCCATGCCTACACAACAGGGTCTCCTCTGTCTCTCAATTGCTCTATGTGTGTTGATACTGCTTCACTTCCAACCAGGACCCCCCTCCGTGGTCTAACAACCTCTCTCTTTTCTCTCCTCCCTCCCTCCTCCTGCCTCGGCTCATCTCTCCCCCTTCTGCCTTCCTCCGTGGTCTTCCTGTGGCCGTCACCTCCACCTCCACGCCATTCCACGCTCCCCCCTTCCCCGCCCAGGCCRCCCGTGCGCCCGACCCCCCCGTCATCTCACTCCCGTTCATAGGACTGGTTGTCATAGTGGCTCTGCTCTGGTGTTGGTGGGCCGAGACCTCATCCTAACCCCGATCAGGTACTGTTGGGATCCGCTTCGCTTTGCCTCACCTGCARGACCAGGCCGCGCTCCCTTCCCCTTCCCCATAGTATCTTTTTGTTTGTGGCTTTCTGTTTGTCCTCCCGACAACCACATCTGACCTGCCTCCCCTCTCCTCATCCTTTGCCTCTTCCAAACCATTGTAGATATGTAGAATTAAATGCAGTTTTGTGTAATTTGGTCTCTACAGCAGAGTAGAGTGCAAGGTAGTCAGTGCTAAATATAGTAGGAAACTATATACAGGATGCTCCAGTACTGTTTTGATTTTTGTTGTTGAAGGCAATGCAACTACAAATAGCAGATAGACAATATAAGGTAACCTAACTTTGGTAGAAAAGTTATTAATGCTTGTTCTCATGGCTGTATGTAATAGTACTAATACTGATATGAGGCTTCTAATATTATATAATAGTGATGCTGCTGATAATAATAATAATAATAATAATAATAATAATAATAATAATAATGGGTTCCTAATACTGACACTTATGTCCATATGTAATAATAATAATAATAATAATAATAATAATAATAATAATAATAATTTCCTATAATATTGGCTCTTGTGCCTATATGCAATAATAATAATAATAATAATAATAATAATAATTCCTAACACTGTCTCTCATGTCTATTTATTTATTTATTTATTTAATTATCATGTCAGGCGTGAACCAAACCAGTTGTATTGCATTAAAAAACAGACAAACAAACAAACAAAACACAAAATTTGCAAGCTTGTCTATATGCAACAACAACAATAACAACAACATGGCTCCTATAATACTGACTCTCGTGTCTAGATGATGACGATGACGATAATGATGATATAGAAGTCCTAATACTGGCTCTCATTATAACAACAATAACAACAACAACAATATGGCTACTATCCTACTGACTCTCATGTCTAGATGATGATGATGATGATGATGATGATGATGATAATATAAAGGTCCCAATACTGGCTCTCATGTCTATATGCAGCAATAATAATAATAATAATAATAATAATAATAATAATAATAATAATAATTTCCTAATACTGATTCTCATGCCATAATAATAATAATAATAATAATAATATCTGTCTCTTCTTGCAGCTCAAGACTGAGTGCAGCACAGATGTAAGGCACCTTGAGGTAGAGAGAAGCCTCATGATGCTCTATTATTATTATTATTATTATTATTATTATTATTATTATTATCCGCTTTGAGTCACCTAAGGGCTGAGAAAAGCGGTATATAAATGAAGTAAATAAATAAATAAATAAATAAATAAATAGTCTGTACTTGTATCCAGCCTTCTCCCCATAGGGATTCAAGGCATCTAATAATAATAATAATAATAATAATAATAATAATAATCTTTATTTATACCTCGCCACCATCTCCCCCAACGGGGACTCAGAGCGGCTTACATGGGGCCAAGCCCGAACAACAAATTACAAAACAAAATACAAATTGCAGTAAAATAAACAACATAAACAATAAAAATAAAACATCAAAGCATATAACAATATACACAAAACACAAAAACCAAACATAATGACAAAGAGCGGGCCGCATGTACATAAAATGTATTGTCGAAGGCTTTCATGGCTGGAATCACTAGGTTCTTGTGGGTTTTTCCGGGCTATAGGGCCATGTTCTAGAGGCATTCTCTCCTGACGTTTCGCCTGTATCTATGGCAAGCATCCTCAGAGGTTGTGAGGTCTGCTGGAACTAGGAAAAAGGGGTTTATTTATCTGTGGAATGACATATATAGTTCTTTGTCCCACCCTGGTCATTCCACAGATATATAAACACACTTTCCTAGTTCCAACTGTTTGTAGGGGAGAACTCTTAACAACCACATGACACAATAAAAATTTAAAACAAATATTAAAAATGTGAAAAACGCAATTCAATATTAGTGCGTGGATATAAAGTTAAAATACAATTTAAATACCTTTCTTTCCTTTGAACTTTAGTGTCATTTAGTTAGCTCTAATAGACACATGGGCCAACTTACGCCCTCCAAGTGTTTTGGATTTCAGCTCCCACAATTCCTAACAGCCTACCAACTGTTAGGAATTGTGGGAGTTAAATTCCAAAACACCTGGAGAGTGGGCCAAAGTTGGCCCATGTCTGCTCTAATGCATGGAAATGGGATTGAGGATGAGTGTTGTTGTGCTCGGTCCCCGGCCTCACTCTGTCTCCGTCTCCTTCCTGCAGGTCCCAGCCGGAGGGATGAAGCCCTTTGCCCTCTTTGTCGTCTTGGCCGGGGCCTTGTTCCTGTATCCCTGCCTGAAGAGATGCAGCCCCAGTTGAATGGGGGGGGGGAGCCTCCGTGGCCGCCCGTCGCGGAGAGGACCGCACACACACACCACGCCGCACCCCCCTTTCCCCACCCCCTTTCCCCGTGAGAGCCACGCACCTTCTCTTCCCCTGGTATTGAGGCCCTCTTGACCTTCGGAGGATGGCCGCCACAATGGCCTCTTGTAGCAAACACCCTCTCCTTCCAGTATTTACTTGAGGAGGGGGACCAAATGGGAAGGAAGGATGAGGTGGCATTGGAGCTGTACGCCCAGGCTCCTCATCCTTTATGCCCATAGGAAACGGGTCCCATCCTCAAAGTTTTAATGCTCTGAAAGCATTGCCTCATGCTCAGACTGGGGCAAGATGCATGAAGAAGGAGGGACCAATTTGGGGCCCAAACCCCCTTTTCTAGGGATTCAAAAGCACAGGAAGTAGCAGTAAACCCCGGTCCATTGACCCGTGCCTCCTTTTTACCCCCTTTTGGGCCAGAACCTCCTTTCTAGGGATTCGGAAACTCAGAAAAGAGCAGAAATCCCTTCCTTTAACCCCAGATCCCCTTTGGAGTCCATTCTATGACATTTTTTGGGGGGGGGTATCCAAAGGAGGCCATCCAGAGCAATACCTAATGCATCGTTCCAAACGCCTCCTCTTTCCAGCCACGGAAGGACCTTTGAGGCATAACACTGGCAATAATTTTGGGGTTTGAACAGCACGCAGGGTGTTTTAGGGTGAGGGAAAGTCCTTGGTGGTCTCCCCATATTTTTCTTTGGCAATATTTAAGGCCTGTCGTAACACTGTGAAGGGGACCCACCCGCGTGAGCCAACGAGGGGTGCCCCGAAGTGGCCGAAGGAGAACGGAGCTATACGTGTCCATCTGCCTTCTCCCTCCATCCCTCTTCCTTCAGAAGTACTTCCAGATGCTTCTCCTGAGCCTTTGGATCTATGCATTGTGCCTCAGGCCATGGTCTCCCCAAAGCTCTGGCCCTCCTGCCCCACCTTTCTCCCCCCCCTGTTTGATCACAGCCTTGGGAAATGCTTGTCGGTCTCTGTCTCGGTGTGTGCGAATGCGGTCTTTGCAACTTCAAAAGGTTTGGCTCTGTCGGATAGAAAGGTCTTGGAGTCGGGGATGGGGGGGAACTTGGGGGTCACTCAGCCTCCTTTCCAGCAGTGGATCCCTCTCCGCTCCCCCAAAACATAATGAGGAGGGATGGGGGGGGGGCACAGCTCTTTGGGTTGCAGCAAGCCAGCCTCTCTGGACCCCTTGGGCATGAAATCTTTGCCCTGCATGGTTTAATTCTGTGTGCGTCCGTATGTGTCCGAGGGCATTCGTTCGCCCCGTCACCTCGCCGTCGGCTCTTACTGTTTTTGTCTTCCCTCCCTCAGCCTTTTGCCCCACCGCTTCCACCTGAGAAGGGGCAGGTCACTTTTAAGAAAAGAAGCTCAAAACACACACAAACACACACACAAACACAAAGCTACTGGAGACTCTTTGTGGATCTTTGTCTTTGTTCTATGTTGTAGCTCAGTAAAAAACGAAAGATCTTTATAAATATGTTCGTCTCCGGTCTGTTTCTTGGTCTGATCTCTTCTTTTCTGTATCACTATTATATCTGGCCCAGTCATAGGTTTTTAAAATTTTTAATTTTTAATTGTTTGTGTGTGTTATAATTTATAATTTATTTACAGCTTTTCTATTCCGCCCTTCTCCTCACCCCGCAGGGGACTCAGGGCGGATTACAGTGTACACATATATGGCAAACATTCAATGCCAATTTTGACATACAAACATATACAGACATAGACAGAGGCTATTTAACTTTTTCTGGCCGCCAGGGGAGCTGTCGCTTTCATCGTCCATCTGCGACGCTAATGAAGCACTTCCGCATTCCCCACATGCTTCCCTGGCCTCATAAATCAGTTAATTTAGCCTCCCCACACTTTAAGGTGGTACCTAATTTTCCTAGTTGACAGATGCAACTGTCTTTCATGTTGCAAAGGTCGACAACAGGCTACACAATTGGTTGGAAACCCACTCCAACCCAAGCTGGCTTCGAACTCATGACCTTTTGGTCAGAGTGATCTTAATGCAGCTGACACTCAGCCAGCTGCGCCACAATCCCAGTGTTATTGCCTATATGTGAGTTATAGAGTTATATTAATCATATTGTTTTATTTGCGTATTACTTTGTTGTTTTACTGATGTGTTGTTGGCCTCATGTAAGCCGCACCGAGTCCCACATAACTATTCCAAATGATTGTAAATAGAATGTATTTATTATTTATTTACTTCATTTGTTGACCGCCGTTCTCAGCCCTAGGGCGACTCACGGCGGTGTACAACGTATAAAAACAGTTTACAATAAACAATATCACAGCAAAATAAGCACATAACATCAATAATACAACAATAATTACTCTAAATCATCCGCGTCGTCTCATCGTAAAATCGTAAACCAATCTCGTATTCCATATTCCGTTCCAGTCATCAATGCCAGTTGTTGTAATGTTTAGTTGAACGCCTGCTCGAATAGCCAAGTCTTTAAGCTCTTGCGGAATGACATAAGGGAGGGCTCCTGTCTGATGTCCAAAGGGAGGGTGCTCCATAGCCGGGGTGCCACCACCGAGAAGGCCCTATCTCTCGTCCCCGCCAGACGTGCCTGTGAGGCAAGCGGGATCAAGAGAAGGGCCTCCCCAGACGATCTCAAGGTCCTCG